AAAATTTTAGAAAACGATTGCAGCAAGTTATAAAGGTGAGAGGCCATGCTATTGACTATTAATATTGTGAAAATTGTTAAATTCTTTACATTTTTCATACTATACGAATAATTTTGTCATTTCCTCTTTTGTATAATTCGCCTGTTAAATTTGTTGTAGTTAAAATAAAATCAGGCAGCATACAAGCATTAGATTGTGAGAAATGGATGAAAATATTCAATATATATATATATATATATAGGGTGAGAGACAGAGAGAGACAGAGAGAGACAGAGAGAGAGAGAGACAGAGAGAGAGAGAGTAAATTGTTGATAACCCTGAAGAGTGGATGAACGGGTCCGCCTACGAAACTATGGAGTCGAGGAGGCTGAAGGTAACATCAACGAAGCAAAGTGACAAAATTTTAGTCATCATTAATCATATATATATATATATATATATATATATATATATATATATATATACACTACTAGTAGTAAATGATAAATGTCTGTGTATACCAAACACTGATTTTATTTCCCTTACATACACAGTAATATTTTTAAAGTCGACTCATATTCTGAGCTCTCATTTGAATTTGAAAAGTCATGCATTCGAAAATAGAACGAAAAGAAGCCTAATACACACACACACACACACACACACACACACACACATATATATATATATATATATATATATATATATATTGCAAAAATAAATTTTGATAATCTTACTTATAAAACGCAGATTGTGTGTGTGTGTGTGTCTGTAACGTTTATATATTGGATCGGATTTCCTACATTTTTCAACCGATTTCAACAAAACTTCACAGGACTACATAAAATTACCTTGTGGTGGTTCTAACAGCGCCAAAAATAGGAAAAATATAATTGTTTTTGCACAAAATCAATTTGAAAACACGTTTAAGAGACATCGTGAAAATGGAAGGGTGACAACTCACATCGGGTTGTTTGTGTGTGTGGGTTCCTTTAAATATGGGAGCGGATTTCCTATATTTTTCAGCTGATAAAACAAAACTTCCTTTTTTTTTTTGGCAGGTAGTGTTTCTTATTCTCTTGCACACTTTTTTCTTTATTTTTAACATTCAGAATGCTTTAAAAATTCCATTTACAAGACAATTATTTATAATAAAATTCTATTCAGTCGGGAGACTCATAACGATTAAAACAATGTTTTTGTTTGAGTTTGGGTTTGACCAATTCGTAGAAAATAAAAAAAAATTAAAAAAAATAATTAACACATGCGTGTCCGTCAACCTTAAACAATAATCTAACGATCTCTACTGATTTACGAATACAAACATCGGATAAATTCTTTATCTTTAGGGAAAGATAATGAAATCTAAACATACACAAGTCCTAACTAAAAATAATATTATTCCAGGGAAACTACTTTAAATACACATGGTGTCCAATTTTTTTACTGTATTCAATAAGTAAAAATCATAAATTGTAAAAGATTATTATTACAGAAAGGCTACTAAATGAATAAGATTTGTTAGATCATAATTAATAAACCCAAATAAAGTTAATATTTTTTGTATTAAAAACGAGTGGAAAATATATTCAAATCAGAATTCTAATTATGAATCACCACAAGCAAAATATGCAAATTTTTTTATTGTATTCAATAAGTAAAAATCATAAATTGTAAAACTAAAAAGTTTACGGAAAGAAAGGCTACCTACATTTTTCAACCGATTTCAACAAAACTTTTTTTTTTTTGGCATGTAGTGTTTCTTATTGTCTTGCACACTTTTTTATTTATTTTTACATTCAGAATGATTTAAAAATTCCATTTACAAGACAATTGTTTATAATAAAATTCTATTCAATTGGTAGACTCATAACGATTTTAAACAATGTTTTTTTGTTTGAGTTTGGGTTTGACCAATTCCAAAAAAAAAAAAAAAAAAAAAATTATAATTAAGACATGCGTGTCCGTCAACCTTAAACAATAATCTTTGTCAATTTTATTTTTCAGTCTTTATGATGGTGGATACTTGATCTATCTCTTACTGTTATAAAATGGGCAACGCCAGGCTCTACTGCTAGTATGTTTATATTTATATAAAAATATTTTTAATATCAGGAAAAGAGCGTGTGTAATTATAAGAGTAGACACTGGCCACTGAAGTAAACATTGCGTTCAAGAATAAAACAAACAGTCGCCACTTGGTGTTGACTTCATTGTCCACTACACACACACACACACACACACACACACATATATATATATATAAGTGTCTACCCTATTTAGAGCATGACCACTTTCTTAAATTAACTGTTGCTTGGCACTTCCGTGGACTTTCAAATGGCTTCCTAGACCCGCATTACTTTTGGTAGCAAATAGCCATATCTGGATCCAACTTGCCGTTGAAATCTGCCGTGAGAATTAAGATGACTTTTCAAGCAAGCGTATATTTTGACATGAAATGCACAATGAAGGCCTGTTAATTGTAGTTGATGGTTAATTTCAGGCAATCACACTTGTCCATCTTGGGTATGAGGCTTCATATAGTTAACAAGACTTGACAAACTGGACAAGGTCTTGGAAAAAATCTCGGTCGAATTATATATATATATATATATATATATATATATATGTCGAACAATCACGTGGTCAAGATAAACACTCAGTTGTGGAGCAAGCTGAGTGAATACTAATTCAACAAAAAGAAAAAGTTATTTATGGTGCAATGGAGCATCTCATTATGCTAAAGTGGGATAGTCCATTGCTTTGGGCTGTGATTGGCTGTTGGTACCTGAGTGGAAGTATTTCTATATAAATACCAGCTTGATAAAAAGTTAGTTTGCAGGGTTTGTATTAAGTTACACAACCTGCTTTTTTTTTTGCCAGCTGGACTTTAGCTGGGACTCTTACGCCGGTAAGTGTTTTTTATTTTATTGTTATTCTACAATATATATATAGGTATTTTTTTTTACCTCAAACATCATATTGAATACTCGTATTTGAAACAGACGCTGCATTTTTATTTACGATAATAAGGTTTGAAATAATAATAAAAATATCAGATTAAAAATAAATCCAAATTATATATATGTGTGTGTATGGAGGGGCACTGAAGTCAACGCCCAGAGAGGACAGTCTGTCTCATGCTAAACGCAGGCCCGACGACTGCAGTTAGAATGGTAACCCGTCTCCTCTGGGTGTTGACTTTAATGTCCACTTTTATATTTACATAGGCTCTATCCCTGATATTGAGCACTTTAACCCATAAATATAGCATATCTTAAAACTATATTTTAGATATTATGGTTTAATATAGTGTACATTTTTTAAATAATATAATATATATATATATATATATATATATATATATATATATATATATATATATATATATATACTTTGGGAACGATAAAATTGTCGCCATTTTTTTTTTTTTCATTTCGCGCATGGGCGTCGTTTGTTTTTGATTTTGTCGACTGCACAGTATAGTAGAGTCAGTTGGGCATCATCTATTACAAAATGAGCACCATGACGCAATTCACTCCGACAGAAATTTGTAAACAGTATTCTGTACTGCACATTTCTTGAGTGTTTGGGTGTCAATCTGAGGAGAATGCAGGGGATTCGGAAAGAATTGGATGAATCTAATGGTGATTACGAAGGTGTTTGGTGTGATCACTAGTGATGGCGAAGTTATGCTGCCATTCATTTTCTCACAAAGCCTCAGACTTAATCTACATCAAGTGCTTTGAGTGAGTAACGCTGCCCTAGGTCAAGAGGGTGGCTGCTAGAAGACTCTATGTCTGGCAGCAGGACTCTGCACCATCCCACACAAGCAGGAGAACCCAGTCAGGCTGTCAGATAATTTCTGCGACCACATCACCCATAACATCTGGCCACCTACCTACCTAGACTGCAACCCTCTTGATTATTATGTGTGGGGCTCAGCTGAGTGAAAGACCAACAAAAATCTCCTTTTAACACCAACGATGAACTGAAGGCAAGGATTATGGCAGCATTCACCAACTTAAACTAGGGGACCGTCCAGAAGAGTTTTGGGCCCTTCCGAAGTCGTCTGGAGGCCGTGGTTGAAGCCAATGGCGATTTTATTGAATAAATTTACTGTTTACTATTTCAAGATATTTTTGTGTAATTTTGGTAATGTTGAGATGTTGTGAGTTTCCCGCGTGTCGGTGTATGAATCAAGACAAACACAGTTGTAGAGGAAAATACTGGTATATTCATAAAAGCAATTAACATTAGAGTGATTAGTAGAACGAAGGTTGGTTAGTACGAAACAATATCCAAAGTCTATAGTCCAACGGTATGTACCGGGTAATTTATTATCTGGACTGCTCACGCTGACTCTCTCTCTCTCTCTGACGCTCTGTTTTTCTCTCTCCAGAGCTGACTTATATAAGAGGGACCAGTCCATTACTAGTTAGAAGGTGGGTGCGCCCCAACAGGTAAATATCTGTTAAAATGAGATGTTAGTATTATTTTCATTTTTGCGTAATTTAGACAACAATTTATTCATCGCACCATATATATATATATATATATATATATATATATATATATACACCTAGTGAGCCAGACAAACCTACCTAGGTTTCACCTAAACGGATCGTCAGGAAAGTTTGGTTGTATTGATCTCTTTTTGTTAGTTAGTTGTTACTCGTATCGGGTTTTTTTTTTTGGGCTTCAGACCTGCATCTGTGCGATTTTTTTGTCGGCAGAAGTTCATGTTTGTAGCTCTTTCTTTTAAAAGCTTTTTTAAAACCTTTTTTTTTCCCTCGAGATTGATTTGATTAGCAAATCAAAAATTCGAGGTTTTTCAAAAAACGAGTCTAGTCTATATATATATATATATATATATATATATATATATATAACTTATAGCGTTATTTTTAATTTATGTAATGTACTTGAGTAGATGCTCTGTTGCTTTTATTTAAAAACAGAATTTATTTCGTCTAATTTCGCCATGCCTTCTTTATAAATTCTAAAGGAGATCTCAGAATATGAGTACTTCAAAAGATTTCTGTGATATGTAAGGGAGGTAAAGCAGAGTTTGGTATGCAGAATATCTTTGAAACGCTGAACTTAACAATAGCCGAAGAACAGCATATTTTAGATTTTTTAAGCTATCCATTTTTTTAAGCTCGTGAATGATTGAGAAAGACTTTAATAAACTTTCTGTGTAAAAAGCAATCACTTTTTTTTTAACTCACCCAACTAGGACAAGAAATCAATCTCAAGACAGAAGCGATACGCTCCCCCAAGAAAAGAAGAAATCATTTAATCTGTCAACATAAACCCCCGTCCCCAAGATCTGAAAATTCTCAATTATTGGAAATATGCAGCCCATATGACGGATGCTGAAACAGTGAAAAGTTACCGGATCAACATACTTCCCAAAATCTGACCACATGACCAAATATAACACTAACAGGATTATTTGGGGAAGGGCTTCTTGGTCGGACTGATAACTTTTCAGCGCATGTTAATAAGACTGTGTGTGTTAGACACACACCAAAACGTCAAATTACCTGTTCCGAGAGTAAAGCTTTGTGACCTCGACTGTATGTTGACAATTAAAACGATTATGAACAGCATTATTATTAAATGCAAATTATATATATATATATATATATATATATATATATATATATACGTACGTATCATTTCTTTGTCACAAAATCAAAAAAAATTATTATAGCTATATATATATATATATATATATATATATATATATATATATTATATTTATATATTTTTTTGCCTGTTTCAGAGTATAAATAAATCGGAAAGGACGATTCGACTACTATTTGCTACAAAGAAAATAACGCTATAATTTAAAACATTTTAAAATGTGTAAAATTTCAAAGATGTTGGTTTTAATTTTTAGCGTGCGTACATGTACGAGTAAGAGAGAAAGGGAGAGAGAAATTTATAAAATTAATATCTATGGAAGTATAGATGTGTTCAGGCTACATTTGTTTGTGGAATACAACTAGTCAAAAAGAAAAATCTAGCGTGCATATTTTGCGAGTAATAAGTAATTAAATAAAATATAATTTTATTTTAGAATTTAAAAATTTACATATGCCATAAAAATAAATTAAATAACATAACAATATAACATCGTAAACCTTTATCAACTTCCCATTTATTTATTTATTTTTATTTTTGCAGTTTACCTCCAGAGGTAAGGGCAGTGAGTGTGTATGTGTGTGTGTGTGTAGAGATAGAATCAATATGTGTATATTTCAGAGATTATCACTATGTGCATATAAATAATATTACTCCGTGTGTTTATGCGTGTGTGAGAATCAATATGTGAATTATATTACACAGAGATTATCACTGCATATATATGTGCGTAAAAAATAAAAATAAAATCACCCCGTGAGTGTGTGTGTGTGTGTGTGTGTACGCGCACGCGCGATGTGTGAACTGGAAACTGAAAAATGAATGGATTCCAATTGTGAATTATCGCTGATTGGTATGTGTGTATGTGTGCGATAGAGAATTTATACACGTATGTACACGCATACACTTAAACTGCCTCTGTTATATGTTTGTGCTTAGCTTAGTGGTACGCTCTCTGTGTGTGTGTGTGTGTGCGTGTGTGTGTGTGTGTGTGCTCACTGCTTAGTCTGGCAGAAGGCTACACGTATGGAGCACTTAGTGAGGATCGAACTTAATTGTCTGCGCGACTTGCTTCTTGTGCAAACATAAAAAAAATAAAAACATTTAATTTTTATTGATACGTCATGGAAAGCCTCGTATAAATTTTTAAATTTTAGCTTCGACTGACACAAGGCCGCAAATGCCGAGGATACCCAGTAATAAGGGCAATAGTAGTTAATTAATTATGTTTTAAATAAATTCATTTTTAAATACTGGACACTTTCTTTATCATGCAGGACATAATATGGGGGGGGGCAAGAAAAACGTGGGATCTTTTAAGTTTTACTTTTAACTGAGAACAATTTGTTTTCAGATAAACTAAAAACGTTAAAACAGCAAAAAGAAAAAAAAACAAACTGGAGTCACTTACTACTAAAACTACTAATGATGAAAGATGCTCATGCAATTATGATTAATGAGTAATGTATTTAAATGGAATGTTGAAACCAGTGCTAAACTTTTTCAAAAAGCCACCACTACTACTACTACTACTAGTAGTAGTAGTGGTGGCTTTTTTCGTTTAACTTCATTAATTCTTCCATAAACGTGAAGCACCTGCATTTGTACTTTAAAAAATGAATAATAAAGTAAAGTTAAAGCAAAAAAGTACTTTTTATCATGTTTAAAAAATCATTTGCTACATGTCTGTGATAAATTCTTCTTCTGGGCAGTTTTAACTCACATCTTTAGCGTGTGTGAAGCAGAGAGATGATGCTAAGAAGAAGGGCTTCTACATCTTCTTACGTCTTATATTCTGTGGTATTTATTAAGCTCAAGGAGTAAAAATCTTAGGACTAAATAAGAAAAAAAGAGTCGTACCTAATCTGAGTGTGAATGGGTGCGTGCGTAACGTTTTTTGCGTGTGTCTGAGCGATTATTATCTTAATTCTTATTAATAATCATAGGATTGCAATATGATTTCTCTTCCTTTTTTTCTTTGCTGTTCTTCTTTCTCTCTGAACTAGAGAGAGATACGAACAGACTCACACGGAGAGATAAAAATGCATTATAACGTGATATGATCATAAAAAAAAGAATAGACGTGATTGGGAGACGTGAGAGAGATAAACTAAACAGGTAATAATAATATGAAAAAATTGAGAAATATAAAATAGGCTGAAAAACAAGAGAACTTAGACTCTCACTATAAGTTACTATATAGAAAGATAGAGAGAAGACAGGATAATCGCAAATGAACAGGAGGGGGGGGGAGATATTATTCTTTTATCTGCCAGTAAAAATATAAACATTTAGGGATATTATTCAGCCTCTGTCTCTATCCATTTCTTTATCTATGCACGCACACAACGTACATTCACAACGTAGCACAAGTGTAAATAGAAAATATGTAGAAAAATATGTTTTCGCGGTGTTAATTTTTTAGGGTCTGTGTCAGATTCTGTCTCAATTTACCCATGTCAGACCATCAAGCAAGAAGACTGTTCATATCTCTCTCTCTCTCTCTCTCTCTCTGTGTGTGTGTGTGTGTGTGTGTGTGTGTGTGTGTGTGTGTGTGTGTGTGTGTTCATATTTTTAGATTTAACAACCTATACATCTCGGTTCAAAATAAGTTTGTTCATATCTGTCTATGTAAGATCGGTCATAAAAATGTGTTCGTCTGTCTGTCTGTCTTTCTCACACCCCCTCTCTCTCTCTCTCTCTATATATATATATATATATATATATATGTTTGTTCATTATCTCACTCTCTCATATGTCTGTTTAAATTTGTTGATTAAGTGAAGTCTGATCATAACTAAGATTTTCATTATTTATCTATAAGTCTGTTCATATACATATATATATATATATATATATATTTATTTCTGTTCACATCGAAATTTGTTATCTATCTATCTATGCTATCAAGCTGTTCATATCTAAATTTGTTCATTATCTATCTATCTATGTTCAAATTTGTTCATTATCTAAGTCTGTTCATATCTAAATTTGTTCTCTATCTATCTATCTATCTATCTATCTATCTATCTATCTATCTATCTATCTATCACTATTCTTTAAAAGCGATAAACCGCGAGGAACAAAAAAAACTGACTCTATCAGATATCAAGCACACTCTCACTTAGTAATTGTGTGTATTGCATGTGTCTGTGTGTGTGTGTGCATGTGTCCATATTTTGATGAAGGCGTGTATCACATCGTGCACAACATATGCTCAAACTTGCTCTGTGGAAATTTCTCCCTCTTTCTTCCTCTCCTTCTCTCTCTCACACACACACACACTCTCTCTCACACACACACACTCTCTCTCTCTTTCTCTCTCTCTCTCTCTCACACACACACACACACACGTTGAATGTTTACCTACGCTAAGTATCTTGGACCTGTCTATGAGGGGGTGCTGAAAAGCTATCGGTTCGTCCCACTTCTTAAAATAAGAATAACGGAATGAACAAAGTATCTTGGTTTGTCTGAGAACTTTTCAGAGCTGCTTCGTTAACAGGATAATTTAAAACTCACACAGAGTACTACTTTTTCTCCCTCTGCTATTTATTACTAATATTATTATTATTATTAAATATAAAAAGAAAAATATGAGAGGTTTAACTTTTTTTATAATGATTCGTTTTTGTTTTTTGTTTTTGTTTTTTGTGTGCAGTTGGGTAGTTGAAAAGTAAGAATTCCTGCGAGTGAAGAAACGGAATTCTCTTTATACACACACACACACACACACACACATATTGTGGTCAGGGGTAGTGAAAAATAAAGTAATTAAAAAATATATTTAATATTCTTCGGGATAAAATGGATGGCATCAAATTCAAAATTATTTGCAGTTAAGGAACAGGAGAGAAAAATTCTGGGGAAATAAAGAGGAGAAATACGTATATTACAGTATTTTTAGTTAGTTGTCTGATATGGAGTATTCAACTTTGCGTGTATGTATGTGTGTGTGTATGTGTGTGTGTGTGAGAGAGAGAGGGGGGATAGCGGGCACCTTACCCCCCCACACACACATACCTCGCGGTATAGCAGAAAAGCTACAGTTTTTATCTTATCCGGCTTGAAAATTTTAAAATAAATTAAATAAATAAATAAAAGGAGAGAGTTTATTTATCTCCACTTCTCATTATTATTATTATTATTATTATTATTGCCAATAAGAACAATCTTGAACACCAACTCTTTTCTTTTTTGATTTCCTCCCATATTTTGTCTCTTATTCTGTCCATAAATTAATCCATCAATCAATCAATATCTATCTATCTATCTATCTATCTATCTATCTATCTATCTATCTATCTATCTATCATAGATTTTGTGCTTACTGCTACATACACGTATCTCAAGCTTGGCACTGACATATAGCAGTAGTAGAAATAAACATATATAAATGTATAATTACTCCTCCTGACACACGTACTTTGAAACACATACACACACATACATACAGACAGACACACACACACATATAAGCACGTATTACCCGTTCACTTCACATTCAAACCTCTACGAGAACTTACACATATGTATATTACATATGAATATGTATATCTATATATATATTCAGTTGAATCAGGTCCTATCAGAGGGAATATAAACTTCTAGTCTCGTACAACAAAAGAAGAAGAGACGTTTTCAACCTCGGCCATTGCAAAGTAAGTTTAAAAAAAAGAATAGTGAGATATTATGGTTTTTACAAGCAAGATATTGTTTATTTACACATGTATTGTGTATTTATATATACTTTGTATTTATGTAGAACAGTAGAGACTGAGAAGAAACATACTGCAAAAAATAAATTTAAAATCATATTGCAATAATTATTAATTTAAATGGCTATAGAGACTACTCTGTGGGGGGTCAGTGCTTGGTTTGTGATTCGTGTCTCTTTGTAAGGAAATATACAAAAAAAATGTACATTTTTATCTATTTTAACATACCTACATCTTCCTATGACTAGTTGTTTTTGGTTTCTTTTGTTTTTTTCGGCAAGATAAAAAATTCTTTTTGTGTTAGTAAAGTGAAGTTTGTGATTGGTTAGGAACGAATTTAAAAAGTGTAATATTTAAAAACAGTATAAAAAATAAAATTATATATATATATATATATATATATATATATATATATATATGCCTACTACATGTGTATGTGCGAAACGAACTATTTATTATTTTTTACTTATTTACTTATATATTTATTTTAAGGTTATTTCTTTATGTCTGTTGTTTTTTTTCTAGCAAGAAGATTTTTTTTTACAACCTGAGTATTTAGAAAAAAATTTTGCACAACACTTAGATCATAACAAAAAATTGCAAAAACTTTACACATTTACGAAACGGGTAATAAACTCCGTTTGTGGTGCACATACAGTCATAATTTGTAAATTATTTTATTATCATTATTCAAATTAATTTAAGATTTACCATGTTTATTTCAAGTTGAATTAAAACTCTCTGAGTAAAGCAAGAATTTGACTCCCAGGAATAAAGAACTACACATGCACAGAAATATTTTATTTCTAGGTACAAATTTTGTCTGCCTCTGTTCATATAAACGACGTCAGATGTTAAATGCTTTAAGCGGCTTCAAATTTTAGCCTACATTTTATTTTCTGTGGCAAGGTGCTTTCGCGAGACAGGAAACAACCATGAAAAAGTCGTGTTGGGTAGTTTTTGAATGAATGAATAAATCTCTCAGCTTCTTCATCTCTAAGTCTCTCTCTCTTTCTCTCTCTCTCTCTCTATCTATCTATCTATCTATCTATATATATATATATATATATATATATATATATATATATATATATATATATGTATGTGTAAACAGTTTATCAATTTTCTCTCTCACTCATCATATATCTCTATCTATCTCAACCAGTTCATATATCATCATATCTATTTTATCCAGTTCATAAATCTATCTATCTATCTATCTATCTATCTATCTCACTCTGTTCATATCTATCTATCTATCTATCTATCTATCTATCTCACTCTGTTCATATCTATCTATCTATCTATCTATCTATCTATCTCACTCTGTTCATATCTATCTATCTATCTATCTATCTATCTATCTATCTATCTATCTATCTCACTCTGTTCATATCTATCTATCTATCTCACTCTGTTCATATCTATCTATCCATCTATCTATCTATCTATCTATCTATCTTCTCTGTTCATATCTATCTCACTCTGTTCATATCTATCTATCTATCTATCTATCTATCTATCTATCTATCTATCTTCTCTGTTCATATCTATCTTCTCATTGTGTTCATCTCCCTCTATCTATTTATCTTCTCATTCTGTTCCTATCTATTTCTCTATCTCATTCTGTTCATTAATCACCCAGTTCATATCTTTATCTCAGTATATTCCTTGTCTATCAACGTTTACTTTTTTTATTCATCATATCTATCAATGAGTCTGTTGAAAAAGTATCTAAGGTTGTTTTTCTTATCCTTCTAAGTCTGTTCATATATCATCATCATCATCATCATCATCATCATCATCATCTCTATCTATGGTGGATACCCAATTATTTTAAGTGCACTTTATTGTTTGTTTACTACTTGCTGTCCTGATAGTAAGAAAGAAGAAAATATAAACGGACGATGTGTAAACCTAAAAATAAAAAAATTCCAACAACTGGCAAGTGCTTTTTAATTTTTCGTATATCGGACAAGAAATACGAGTCCCTTGAAGCAATATTGAAAAATAAAGTTGATAGCTTTTTTACAGGACCAGGCTTTATGTTGTTAGAATGAAACATCATTAAAAAAAAAATTATTAAAATGTTTTTTCGCAATGAAGATTTTTTTCAAAACAAAATAGTTTGATTATTTTGTTGTTTTTGATTCTAATGGTGACTTGCTTTAAAAAAGAATATCTTTTTTTACATTGTATAAATTACTTATATTTTCGAGGAAGTAATTAAACCAGGTTGTTAAATTCTAGTAAAAGTAAAACTATATAACTTAAAAATTATTTTAAAATTAATGAATTTAATTATTTCCTTATCCAAACCTGACACGCATACACACACACGCGCACGAGCGCGCATTCACTTATACACACTTCATAGGCACACATACACATAACATACACACATCACTGTGGATATGTGTAGTAAAAAATCCTAGTTTACTCACGCGGCAAATGTAGCTTATTTTAAATTTAAATAAAATTATTCAATTCTGTATATTTTGACCACTCCAAACTTTACAATACATACAACTGTCTCAAAAACGTCGTGTAATTAATAAATAAATAAATAAAAATATAACCCTAACCACGAAAAACAAGGACCGGTTTCCATTAAAAAAAAATGGCGTTTAACAAAAACAGACTTTTCTTATTTTGTAACGTACGTTTAAAAATAATTTTTTTCATCAAGTAAAAAAGTATCTCTGGAACACTCTGGTTCTGGTATCAGCAAAAAAATAAAAATAAAATAAAATAACAATTACAACTGAATTAATTTAATTTTAAGAAGTTTAACATTGGCTGCAGGAGTAGGTAAACTTTTAAAGCTAAAAAAACACTAACAGTTGAGCATACTGTGAGAGTCAAAACTCAAGAACAACGGGTTGCAAGATAAGCATGCTTATCATTAAAGACATCTGCCCTGAAGGAACGTGTTTGTGTGCTTGAGTAGACATCTTTTTGTTTGTTTTTAAAGAATGAAATTAACATCGACCATCCTGGAGAAAAATGTGCCTCACGATTGGAATCAAACCCGTATTATTATTCGTATTCCGTAATATGGGGAATTACCTTGAAGTCAGACGTAGAGAACCATTTTTCTTTAAGACTTTCAATCTCTAGGCTGGTAGCTGCAAATAATGTCACTGTTTAAAAAAAGAAACAAACAAACAATGATGTCTATTCAGACACATGTACCTACTTAAAATAAAGTTTGTACTAGGAAATAACCAACAACATTCTAGAGCGTCTAGAGACCAATGTAAATAAATTGAACAAATGACTTTTCCATGTATTGGTGATTTTATGCAGACATAAAAGGACCAGAAATACATTTCTTTTCAGTCTGCAGGTATTAACAAATCTTAATATAGTTTGTCACAAGGCCATAATAAAGGAGCAACCAGTGAGATATATCTTTGTCCACAAGCAATAGTCTAATTTTTAACTGTTGCTTTAATATCAGACAGCCATATGTAGGTATATAGACGGATTATTATAGTCAGCCACAAGGCCACAATTGTGGTGTATTCAGTGAGAATCAAATGTACTGAACATATAACTATCTGTGATCATCATCAATAGTTAAGTGTCATATGCGATACATGCTTGGGTGATCATGTCTCTTTCAATTCATGAATGACTAAACTAAACAAGATTTTCTTGTAGTAGGTTGCCGTTTCTTTCTATCATAGACTGGCTTACAACCAAGGCTATAAGACCTACTCAGTCTTGCTATTCAACCCATATATATGTGGTAGATAAGAGATGAATTCATACATATCTCAGGCATAAGTGAATGTAACGAACCTGACTGGAATTTGAACTTGCCTCTCCAATTTCTCAGGCTGAGCCAATATCCATTGCACCACCCATACATTCAATTGTCATACAGCTGATGTTTATATAATAGTGATTTACTAAAGGATAGTTTAGTTGTAGCACAAGGCAAGGCAAACAGATGCTTATATAATATGCTAAGTGTTTTTTGTCTGTAACTTTTTGCTCAAAGTTACCTCCCTTGTGCTGGTGATTTATTTGTTTATATAATTAAGAAATACACTTTTCTCCCTAAGAACATTTGAAGTCTATATCTGGTAGTCTTATTTTTGTGTGCAAAATGTAAACAAACTATTTTTAAGTAATTTATAAATACAGGCATCCCTTGATTAATGTGCATTCGGTTAATGTTTTCATTTAGCGCACTAAAATGTTTATATACTAAAATTTGGTTAGTGCATACATAATACTCAATTCTTCAGTTTAACCATAGTAACTGAAAATTGATTTTTTTTATAGTTACCAATGTACACATTAGTCACACTAATTAAGTGATTCTTGTATTTTAAATGAAATTAATTTTTTTTACCATAAATTATATACAATATTTTTAATTAGTTTTTATTACTGTAAACATATCTCACATTTAAATAGATATTCTTTTTCTTTTTTTCTTAAACAGTGAAATTTAATAAGTCTTACTTAAGAAAACATGTATTAAAGAAAGATTGCTAACAAATACACAAATATATATATGAGTTTTATCCCTTGTTTCTTGTTTAGGATTGGATTTCCAGTTCCTTCTAAAGTCTTTTCATTCCCTTTCACTTCCAATCACCCCTTGCATCAGGCCTTATCAAATTGCTTGGGGCGAATTGATTAATATATATATATATATAGTTTTCAGGTATGCTATATTTATAGTTAAAAGTACTCAATATCAGGGATAGAACACATGTAAATATATAAGGGGTCATTGAAGTCAACACTAACTCATGACAAATTGTGTTCAAGCATGAAACAGACTGTTTCCACTCAGTGTTTACTTCAGTATATATATATATATATATATATATATATATATATATATATATATATATTAATCCACTGAAGGAAGGAATCAGGTATTCCCAACTACCCATTCTGTGAGATATAGGGAGTTGGCAGGGTTTTGGAATTATCTAGTCTGTCTGACTATTTTATCCATAGCTTTGGGGTGAATAGATGGATTCTTAACTTTACCAAGATCAATAATGTTAAGTGAATGCAATGGTCTGAATTTGAACTTTGCCTGCCAAAACCATTTTTTTCACTTACAACCGTTCTGCCAACCTTACATCCATATAAAATGCTTATACATTCACATGTATCATATAATAATTATGTAACTAGTTTTAAACTGTGAAAATTTCACGGTTTTTCTATTTGAAATTTAATTCTTCAGTTAATGACTGAATAAGCTCATGGCAAGTTCTACAACAACAGAAATTCCCCTATGGCATTCGTAAATAAACAACATTAACAAAATATTGCAATAGCAATCATAAATATGAATGCTGGTCATTATTTTAAGAAGTAAGGGGATACAAATTAAAAGTTTTAAAATTGACAACTTTTTCCATTTCACTGAAACAGATGTTAAACACTTCTTTCTTCTCTACTTTCTTTCATTTTCTCACTGAAACCAAGTAGTGTTTTTGATTTATCTTTTTGTCATCTTATGCAACCTAAATGGAATAGTCTATTATTTATCAGGTATTAGCAGGAGATGTTCAACAGTTCTATCTTTCTTTTTTTCATTGAGACCAAGTAGTGTTTCTGATAAGTCTTTCCACATGATAAAAATGGAATAATGCATTATTTATTAGGTATTGGCAGGGTGTAATGGTCGTGCAAACTAAAGAGAGGGACAAACATAATTATATTAGGAAACTTGTAAGCATAATTTGGAATTTGTTTTCTTTAAAAATGTTCCATTTTATGTATAAAATGTATACTATGAACCCATATTAAAGTACAAAGTACCACAATTGAAATTCTATTTGTCACAAATAATTACCAGGCTGGGTAATTATTCACAGATTTATCAATTACAAACACACACAAACACACACACATGTGTGTATATATATATGTATATATATATATAAACATATATATAGATGTATATATATGTATATATATGTATATATATATATTTGTAATTTCTATATATATATTATTTATATATAATATATGCGCAATATATATATATATATATATATATATATATATATATATTTTATAAATAGCTGGCCACTCGTATTTGAGGATACCTGTCTACTAGAGCGGCTAGCCAATCCCTATTGCAGATGCTTGCTCAGGCACATTTGTGTTTTTCAACACTCACAGAGCCCAGCTGTAGTTTATACTATGACTATGCTGAGCAAACCTTAGTTACAGTTTCTGGGAGAGAGCATGTTATCTAGCATGATCAACAATTTGAACAAGGCCAGCACACTCAAGCCCTTGACCACAATAAATTGTGGCTTTGTGCTAGCACAGCTATTGACGGCCCACAAGAGTTCTATCTACTCAATTTCATTTACAAGGCTTGGGTCAACCTGTGGTATGGTTTTCAGGCACTTTCCAAACGTGCCACATGCTGGGATCAACCTCAATCCAATCCGATAAAATCAAAAAGTTGCCTTCCTGACAAATTGACCATGGTGAGATTCAAACCCAGGTCTCATTGTCAGAAAGTGAATGTTCTAACCACTCAAGCCATGTGCCGAATCAGAAAAAAAAGACTATAGGTAATGAGGTAATTTTGGATTTCTCTGTTATATAATATATATATAACACAAAATGTATGTGAGAAGATTTAAAAAAATACCATACCAAATAAACAGACATATAAATAAGGGCTTGATACAGTGCTCAGAAAAATGAACATGCAGATCCAGCCAATACAAAAAAGGTAAATAAAGGCTATAGTGTTTTAC